TTGGTTTTTGTTGACCTGTGAATTTTATAAGAATGCGTTCCAGCTCTGATTGTGTCCTTCAATTGATACAGAAAGCTCAGCCTCTTTTCATTCGAAACGAGGGAAGATGTCTAGTGCCATGCGGCAAGATGAACGTCGTCTTAAGACTAGACTGTGACAATACAACGCAAATCAGCTGGTGTGATCGGACGTGAATCTCTTCTTCATTCACTTTTATGTAAAATGACAATGCCAACAGTACTCTTTGTTTATTCACATCGAGCAAGAGATAATCACACCATTTTAGGCATACTACTTTAAATGAAATTTTGCACAGACGATTGTTCAGACAGCAGGTGGTGATGCGTCTTGTGCTCTATTGCTTAGCTCATAATAAACCATATTTTTTTATAATTTTTCATTATATTTAGATATTTTGTTACAATAAGATTGGGAGAGAAAAATTATTTATTTAAATGCAATCATTTTTCTCGATAAAATGCAATCAATTACATTAATTTTTATGTTTTAATTGCTTCGAATAGTACGATTTTGAGGTCTAACATTTTCACCAGAAATAATCGCAGCATTTCAGGCATACTACTTTGAACGAACTTTTGCACAGACGATTGATCAGACAGCAGGTGGTGATGCGTCTTGTGCTTGACTTATAATAAGGCATTATTTTTTTTTAACTTTTCATTATTTTTAGATATATTGTTACAATAAGGTTGGGAAAGAAAAATTATTTATTTTAAAATTTTATCATTTTTCTCGATAAAATTCAATCAATTATATTCATTTTTATGTTTTAATATCTTCAATAGTACGATTTTGAAGTCTAACATTTTCACAAGAAGAATTTTTCATAATAATCGCAACCTGACTGTATCAATTTTTATGTTATGCTTGTATTATTATATCGTGTTTTTTTTGTTTTTGCTCTTATTTCCTTCAACTAGGGGTTCGTATGCTGGATGGAATAGTTACAGACATTTTAGAAGCGCGATCTATCACTTATGAGGCCTCGAGTGTGGATATCTTCAGCGCTTCATGGGGTCCTTCTGACGACGGGGCCACAATCGACCTTCCTCGTCACTACCTTCAGCGTGCGTTCATTCATGGCGCCGTCACGGTGAGTCTTCGTACCAGGTCTTGCATCGACTGGTTGCATTGAGGATAGCCGAACAAGACGCGTCTGAAACTATGCTTAGAACGTCGGAGTGTTGGTGGCTTTCGCATCTTGTGGTGATGTGTGGGCGGTGATGAATGTGGGGTTTGGAAATGTCAACCGAGGCAATTGGTTTCTTGGGGGTCCAATACAGAACTGAGGTGTTGATGTGATGCCAGTGAGAGCAGAGACAGAAAGAGACAGACAGACAGATTTCGATAGGTCAACTCTTTCTGTAGATTCTTACTTTGCGACATACGAAGTCGACTCTGATTCTTTGAAAGCTCAGTCCTTCTGGACTTTTATAGTCGAAACGACGTTTACATGACGCCAATGTCTCAGGAAGGAGCGGCGCACAGGTTGTATCCTCGACCGTCGTCTCGATTAAATTGACGCCGAAACCATCGTATCAGAGAAATTGGTCTGGTTGGAAGGTTCTTTCGTCAAATATTTTTTTCAGAATGTGGACGTCTGCCGATTTCAAAGACTTAGCAGATTTGCCTTGAGTCTATCAACATGATCAAAGTCACCTCATGCTTTATCTACACACCTATTCTTGTACTTTGTTCACGAGATCTCTAAACAACTCTTTGGTCATTACTACTTTTTTTATCATTATTCACCATGACTCGTTTGAGCTAAGGGTGAAATAGCAAATTTATTCTTTTTTATAAAATAGTTTAACATT